AGAAAAGAGAACAAAGCCTCTCAGGGGTACGGAAACTAAACTTTTTGTCAGTTTTACTAAGCCATATAAACGGGTGTCCAGAGAGACTCTTTCTAGGTGGCTTCGCACTGTCATGACCTCTGCTGGGGTAGACACAACAATATTTAAGCCACACAGTACACGAGCAGCAGCTACTTCAAAGGCTAAAACAGCCTCTGTTCCAATCCAAGAAATCCTGAAAACTGCTGGGTGGTCATCATCGAGATGTTTTGATAAGTTTTATGACAAACCTGTGGAATCCTCCACATTTGCTTCTGCTATTCTCAAGACTGTTTAGTCCTGAAATTGGACTTGTTGGCAAATAGTTTTTTGTACTACTAGCCTTAATGAAACATCTTCTAGACAGAAACTTTATTTAACATTTATGTTTCTTAACATTACTTTAATGTTACATACACCTGCATATGGTGTTTTAGGTTCCAATTGATACATAGATTGTAATACCTACATCACTCATTGCTCCGTTTCCTCATGCTTTTTATTGTGGGGAAGATACTTATACCCTCAGTTGATATTTGTCATGTAAATCTGTTTGACTTACTACGTTTCAGTTAATAAACTGATTATAGTGATTCATCATTCAGTGTTTGTTCCTCATGTGACTGTCTTGGCTTTCAAATCTCATGGGATCCCTGAGGCAGTGATGACGAGATAGGATTGAAAAATTAAACGAGACTTACCTGTAAGTTGAAGTTTGATTGGAATTCAATCTAGTCATCAAACTGCACCAAGGGATCACATGCCCACCCTTGGACAACAAATCATACTTACATTTGATTTTACCCACCCATTTATTTGTAATGCTATTGACATTACAGTTCTTATACAATCTACTTCATGGTGATCAGACTGTCACATTCGGCTGTAAATACTGGTTATGCGCATGCGTATAGCTATCTCATGTGATCCCTTGGTGCAGTTTGATGACTCGATAGAATTCCAATCAAACTTCAACTTACAGGTAAGTCTCCTTTAATTTTTCAATTTTCAATTACTATTTATAGCGTATTACAAGTTGTACTATTTTTGGAAAGTGCTGAGTCACATGAAAAAAGTTTCTGGAATATTACAGATTATAGATAATTCTAGAAAAGTCTGGGATTGCGGGACAGATTCAGTAAAAATAATTCGATCCTTGTAACGTCTTACAAACAAAACTCTAGGCACAAATTGTCACATCTTCCCCTTTCTTAAAACAATTAGAACAGTGAGCCTGACCCACGCGGTCATTCAGTGAGAGCTAGTTATCGCCAATTTGATAGTCCTGGTGCCACACTGGTGTTCTCACAGCCCGTCCCGACCTTCGGGGCTCCGAAACAGCTAGGGTCGGTCCTTCAGGCTGAGCGTGCACCATTGCGCCGTCTTCCATCGTAGGCAATTCGTCAGGAACTACTTCCTCTGCAGCTAGATTTGAGCCCGCTGTGCCCGCATTCTTCAAATGTCTTCCGGTTCCTCCTATAGACTCCTGCTCCCACCTGGACCTCATAACTCCTCGGGCCAGCTAGCCTAGTGTAAGTGCCAGCACTCCAGGTCTTCTCACCCGGCAAGCGCATATGGATGGGCTCTCCTATTCTAATGGGCGGCAGGGGTTTCGTCTGTCTGTCGTAGTAGTGCCGCTGACGCTCCTTGGCACCAATGAGCCTGCGCGTCTCCTCTTCTGTAGAATACCTTGGCTGCAATAGTGATCCAGCGACTGGAGGTAGTGTCTTGCATCGTCGCCCCATCAGACGCTGTGCTGGGCTGGTCCCAATTCCAGCAGTTGGCGTGTTCCGCCAGTCGAGTAGGGCTTGGAATTCGGACACTTCGGATGCCTTGTACTTCGTCAACAATCGCTTGATTGTCTGTACAGCGTCCTCTGCCTTGCCATTAGATTGGGCGTAGCTTGTTGACGAAGTCCGGTGTTCAAACATCCAGGTCTTGGCAAACACCGAGAACTCTGCTGCGCTGAACTGTGGCCCATTATCTGTTACCAGGCAATCGGGGATCCCAAACCTGGCAAATATAGCCTTGAACTCTTTGATGATTGCTCGCGACGTGGTTGAGCTCAAACGGGCTACCTCTATGTAGTTACTGTAGTAGTCACTGACCACCAGTAGTGTTCGTCCGTCCAGGTCGCACAGGTCAGCAGCCACTTTCGACCATGGACGCGCCATGAAGTCGTGCTGCATCATGGGCTCCCCTGCTTGTCCCTCGCTGTGTGCCATGCAAATGTCACATTTCGTGATGTACTCCCGAATCTCTGTTGACATGCAAGGCCAATACAGCGTGTCCCTTGCTCTGCGTATGCATCCTTCTATTCCAACATGCGTGGCATGTGTTTTCTCCAGCAGCTCTCTCCTTAGAGCAGCGGGAACCACGAGCTGCTGGCCTTTGAATATCATCTCATCCTGGAACGTAAGCTCATGACGGACATCAAAATATGGGCGCGCACATTCAGGAACCTCCTCCCTAGATTCAGGCCACCCCCGTAATATGATTCCTCTTAGCATCTGCTGCACTGGATCATCAGGTGCTGCCTGTTTCAGTTACTGCCATCGTTCCTTGGTCACCGACAATCCCGCCCGGTGATCCACATCCTCCAGCTCCCTTGTGAACTGGCTTCCGTTAACCTCGGGAAGATATGCTTGGCTGAGTGTGTCAGCAAACAGCATCTCCTTCCCTTTTTTGTACTTGACCTGCAGGTTATACTTCTGGAGACGCATCAGCATCCGCTGCAAACGCTGTGGGGCAGATGCTGAGGGTTTGCTGAAGATTGGCTCCAAGGGCTTGTGGTCGGTCTCCACAGTAACTTGGTGTCTTCCATAAACGTACGCATCAAACCGGTCGCATGCAAATACTATCGCTAGGAGCTCCTTTTCGATTTGAGCATATCTTGTTTCCGCTGGTATTAGCGCCCTTGATGCATAGGCAACTGGTGGTCCCTACTGCATTAGCGTCGCCCCGAGGCCTGACTGGGAGGCATCACACTGGAGCGTAATCTCTTCCTTCAAGTTGTAGTATCTCAGCACCGGGGTCTTCGTGACCGCTACCTTAAGTTTCTCAAAGGCTGCTTGATGAGTGCTGCCCCATACCCAATCTTCATCCCTCTGTGTCAAATCTCGTAGAGGCTTGGTGATATCTGATAGGTGTGGGAGGAACTTTGCGAGGTACTGGGCAAGTCCCAACAGTCGCTGTACTGCCGCTTTATCGGTAGGTACTGGCATCTCCGTCATGGCTCTGACCTTTGCTGGGTCGACTTGGAGACCCTTGACGAACGCCACGTGGCCAATAAACAATACTTCAGACTGCCGCAGCTTGATCTTCTCTGGATTTAGACGCACATTACGCTCGTCGCATCGTTCAAGAAACGCTAACAGATTTTGGTCATGGTCACGCGACGCCTCCTCATACGTCTCCCCATAGCCTACCGCTATGAAATCATCCGCCACTACCTCAGTGTCAGTCAACCCTTCTATCAATTCATGCATCTTACCCTGGAAAACCTCTGGTGCCGAGGAAATCCCAAATGGCATACGTCTCCAACGATAGCACCCGAATGGTGTCTGGAAGGTTGTGAGGTAAGATGATTGTTCATCAAGACTAACATGCCAAAATACGTTGCGCACATCTAACATGGTGAATACCTTAGCCCCGGGCAAACGTGTCGCGATGTCCTCAATCGTCGGCATCTCGTACTTTTCTCGCCGTATCGCACAGTTGAGCTCCTTCGGATCAAGGCACACTCGGAGCTGACCATTCCTCTTGGGAGCGACTGCAATTGAACTTATCCACTCTGTGGGCTCTGTCATAGGAGCTGTCACCTCTTGGGTCACCAGGTCATCCAACGTTTCTTTGAGTTTCGGTCGTAATGCCACTGCAACCCACCTCGGAGCATGTTGAACTGGTTGCTCCGTGGGATCCAGCCTGATTTTGTATTCACCATCTAAGTTTCCAACTCCCTCCGTGAACACCTTTGGGAATTTTGTCACTAATTCCTCTTTGGATAGCACTTTGTCCTGAGCCTGTACGGCGTTCACTGGAGCAGTACCGGTCTCCGGCTTGTTTAGGAGATCGTTGTCCTGATACACTACGACTCCCATGCCAATGCACGCCTTGCGGCCAAGTATGGGTCGTATGTCATCGTTGTCCACAAGACGGCAGTCTAGTAAGCACGATGAACCATCTCTCCATACACGGAGGGGTAATCTGCCAATGACCTTTACCCTGGAGCTCCCATATGCCACCAGCGACATTTCCATTCTTTGAACCTTTTCTCACTTCTCATCCTTTGATGCTTTCTTGTATATGTGCAAGGGGAGAACGTTGCACTGAGCACCCGTATCTGGCTGGAAACGTATAAAACAGCCAGACTCAAGCTCGAGTGTCACTAATTGTGAGTCATCCAGCTTTACGGTCGACACTTCCTCTGCTTGATACATTTCCTCTGTGTCTGGCTCGCAGTCATCCACAACTTTCACTTCTTGACGACACTTGGAGGCGAAATGATTCCTTTTTCCGCAGGAGTGGCAGTCCCTTCCTTGGGCTGGACACGATTCCTGATTTTCCAGATGTCTGAATCCACAACTCTTGCATTCTGGACCTTTGCATTGATGTTGTACTCTGCGAGTACAACATCAACACTTTTTTTTCCGTTTCCCGCTCAGGATCGTTACGGCGCATTTCGTTCACTTAGGAACCTCCGATTTCTCCGACCATCTTCATTTGCGCCCGCATGCGTTCCGCTGTTCGGCAGATCTCGTCGGTTTTCGCGAGTGTTAGTCCTGCCTCTCGCAGAAGTCTCTCTCTGACTTTCCCATCATTAATCCCGAATATTAGTCTGTCCCTAAGAATTTCATCCGGCATGATTGTGTTAAAATCACATCCTTCAGCAAGCTTCCGAAGAATATGTCTTGTAGTGATCGTACGACTCATCGGCTCCCTGCATTCGCTGGTTAAACCGGTAACGTTCGAACGGGACATTTCTCCGTGGCTCACAATAATCCGCGAATTTCCGGAGAACGGGCTCGATCTTCTGGTCTTCGTCTTCGCCCCAACCTGTAAACGTAGAGTACACGTCTCTTGCTTCTCCCCCAATTACAGTCAGTAGAGTGGTGACCTGAACAGGCCCGGCCTTTTTGTTGAGTTCGGTCGCCAAAGCATAATTCCGCCACGCCAACTCAAACTTCTTCCACTTCTCAGAGGCGCTGTGGTCGTGTATGTCCAACGGCGGCGGCCGGGGAAGGGAAAATCCTGAGGCCATTGCAGTCCAGCAATCGTCTGAGGTACTAACACTAGAGATTAGTCACCACTGCCACCATGTAAGACGCGGGGGTTGAGGCTTTGTAAAATCTTTTATTCGGCAATCAAAACCACAGCTAGCAGCACATGCTTAGCAAAACAAAAAACCCGATGTCTCGTACGTGCAAAGTTCATACACCTTAACGGTGTCCGATGTCAGCACGTGGCTGCATGGCGTGACATTACCTTATCTAACGCGATTCGACAATCATGTCTTACAAACAAAACTCTAAGCACAAATTGTCACAAAAGCGTACTATAAGAGTTTGTATGGATTTAAAATTCAAACTATCTCTGTTTTTTCGTTTGAAAGCTACAATACAGTGACGCGTACTTTTTAATTCGCGTCAAAATCGGTCAAATGGCTAACAGAAGCGTTTCGGCGACATAAAGAGGACACCACTTAGAGAGATTCGAACTTTATCGTAGCTTTTCAAAGGAAAACAGAAATAGTTTTCGTTCGAAATTGAAATCCATACAAGCTCTTATTTCAACCTCTTATAGTACGCTTTGGTTACCGGTGATTACGGCATTTTGGGCCCGAACATGTAGCGCTGTTAAACTGGGGTCGAAAAGATTATATGTTTCAGCATCTGTTGAGCACAATTGTACTCGATTTTATGGAATTTCCAGATGATCGTTGCCATGGCTTAAAATTGTGAATGAGCAAACTGTCTTCTGAGTTGCGATTCACGGTGACTTCGACTTATCATATGGGTAGTGAACAGTGAAGATGCCGTGGCACGTCGTGATATGCACCCTTAAAGGGGAACTGAAGCCTAAAATTGGTATATTGTTTGCATTCATTTCTAGTCAGCTTTGGAGGATTAAGATAAGGCGTCGATATTCATTTTCGTTCACTTCTTGTTTTTTACGAGAAAATTCGATTTGAGGTTGCCTTTTTCCCGCTTTTGGGGGTGTAAGACCGTCGGCTCAAAATAGGTCAGCAGCGGTCGTTTATGGCGCTAGTGGTGGGGAACCAACTTAAGAAAACAACTGTTGCTATTTCATGTTCGTAGTTAATCCCCATTACAAGTCACGCAACTTCGATAACTCCATAACCAAACCAAATTTCTGTAGGAAGAGTACGGGTTTATTATCTTTCTTCCCCACCAGTGACGTAAGAGCGAGCTAAAATGACCGCTGACATCGATTTTCTGAGTCGCCGTACTACGAGGCCAAAATACCACTTTAAACTATTTTTCCGAAGCGAAGTTGGGCCCAAAGACTGAAAAAAACCCTTGAACATTGCTATTTGAACTATAAGCTGCAATTTAAAAATGGTTCATTTTTAGGCTTCAGTTCCCCTTTAATGCTCTTCATTGATCGCTATCATCTCCGAGAGACACTTTTTTTCAGGGATCGAATTGATCCGGAAGGCAGGTGTTATCGAACAAAAGAGGCAAAACAGAAAAAAGGAAACAAAAAAGAAAAAAAACAGCTATAAAAACCATGAAAATAACTCATTGACTGACGAAACTCGTTTAAAACCATTCATGAAAAACAAATGAACTAGATCATCGTTTTAGTGCAGAGAGATACAGCTAATTCAACGTAATAGTCAGTGCTTGAGTCTGCTGTGAGGGAGTCTGCTGTGAGGGAGTCGGAAACGGAACTTCAAGGATCATTTTTGCTGAAGTAAGGAATTAAGAAAATATGACCGGGATCGGGATTAGCCGGTAGAAACCGTCGGGATTGAGGGATTGAGGGAAAATTCCGGCCGGGATGGCGGGATTTAAGAACCCTATTGGGGACCCTCAGAAGTTTGCGAAGCGGAACGGAATTGGCGCGTTGTCGTGTTGCTGTTTCTATTTTCTTCAATAAACGAAGAGATTTCCAGGTCGTCTAGCTGTTTTTCTTCGTTCGACTCATCTAATAAACTTGGATGTACATTTGCCAGCCATTCTGACTCTTCGTCGTCAGAAATATGATTCAAATTGTCCGCCATTTTTTTTTTCGTAACTACAATTTAATTCTTCGCTTGCGCGATGCGAGAAAACCTATTTAACCGGTACTCTACAGTACAAATACCGCGTGGTATTTGTACTCATTTGTACTCATCTATGGCGTTATTTGTACTCTACGAAGTGTAGTTGGATAATAAAAACAGTTATTAGGCTTCCATGTGGAAGTGTCTAAGTTCCACTCGAAAACTGATATTAGCTCTGGCGGAGTAGCTCACTACCTTTATATATTCCGTGATGAACCAAATCAAGTTTAGAAATCAAAAAGATTTTTTGCTGTTGTCTAGCCTGAAATATCTGGTCGAAATATCTCGTGGAAATATCTGGTCGAAATATCTGGTCGATCGCTCAGTTGCCCATTTTCATGCCTTTTTCTTCGGCTTTTGAAATTAATAATTTTTTTTCTTAGCTCATTAAGAGAAGTCGCGGTACCCGCCGAGTGTGGGAAATTTAATTAGCTACTGGTGGCTTCAACACTTTTCAAATTCACTGAATAGCATTCTTTAATGTAGTTTTTTTTATCCAAATTCTCCTATTGTCTCTTCTTTTTCTTTTAAGCTGCATTTTCAAAAGATATGCAAAAACAACAGAGTTTTGGAGCGGCCGCTTACTCAGTTAGGTTACGTTGACGCGCTGCCGGAAGTATTTTCGACCGGCGGAAAATCCGTGCGTTTAGGCGTTGCGTTCAAATGGAACCACGCCAAACGTAAGAAAGTTTGGACGCCCAAGCGTTAAAAAATTTGAACACCAAAATAGAGGACGAGTCTTTAGTCGGTGCATCCAATAATTTGACTGCCGCAGTGTGAACTCTTTAAACGTTGGAATTTTTGTAAGGCGAAGGCGTGGCTGCGTGGATACGCGGTAACCAAGCAAAATAACATGTTTAAAATTTTATCAGGTGGAACGTGTTGCGTTGTGCGCATGAGGAGATGGTGATACCACTGACAAATGTCAAAAACTTCATCCGGTTAGCAGTTCCATCTGAACAGAACGAAACTTTTGCACGGTTCCGCGTGAACAGAATGTCCGGTTGAAATTTCCGGCCTGTCGAAATTTCTGGCCGATCAAAAATTCTTCTGTTACCATGTGAACTTAGCCTTACCTGCGATTATTTTGTTCATGCTTGTTGAGCAGAAGATAATAAAGTAGAGATTTCTTGCATTCGCATCTCTTGAAAACAGTGCACTGCATGTATTTCTGTAGTGACTTGACTTCTTATTCTGAAAGCAAACTGCGTATCTTTTATCTCATTTGCGGCGTTTAAAGGATTACCAGCTACTGTGCAATAACATTTTAACTAAGAAAGTATCTTAGTTCACCGATTTATTCTTGTCCACAGTTTATATCTCCTTTAAGGTCATCAAAGTTGATGTGGGCCCAGCCTCCAGATCCGTCAATCAGCCTTACGAAAGCACGCTTTCCAATAAATTCTTGTTCGTCCCATGTCTCTCGAGTCAAGGTTTCGATACATCTTCCGGTAGTTTGTCTGACAACCTGTGAAAAGCCAATGACTAGTCATTTGATCTAAATTAAATAGAACGCTTGAAATCAATTTGAGCTTAGGTTTGAGAACAAGCTGAAAATGGCCCTTTTTTTCTAATAAAGATCAACACACCTTGCTGAAAATCGAAACAAGAAAATACAAATGATAACAACAACGACAAAAACCTAAATCAAATAGAAACGAATTTACATATTTGTGGTGTAACCAGGCCTTAAATAAAAGCAACACGGCCATAGCAAAAACTAACAAAACGACTAACTTAGTTGACGTCAGCTAACAACGAAACTTTTCTTACGAAGACAACGGGCATAATGGTGAAATAAATAGGTACTGGCGCAACGTAATTCTTGCATAACCTCACGCAGAACTGCGAACTTATAGCCCATTTCCGAATTACCCTTGGCCTCTTTTTCAAAACGAGGCCTGGTGCTCAACCATTCTTGTGAAAATGAGTTTAATTTGCTTGAGAATGAAAACTTATTATCATCTGAAAGGATGAGCACCAAGACTCGTTTTGAAAATGAGGCCAAGGGTAATTCGGAAATGGGCTATTGAATAGAAACGGAACATGATAATAGTAGGACAGTAGAAAGAAGAACATTATAAAATCATCTCGCAGTTGCCTGATAATAAGTAGAAATGCAAATTCGAGTTGCTGCAGCAACATTTTCTAACTTTATGTATAGAGAGAAAAAGCAGACAAACAGACAGACAGGCACTATTTATGGTTACGCTCCTATACTCACCTTGTCGTCAACGATTAACTCCGCACGAGCAATATTTATATCGCAGCCTCCTCCAATCAAAAAAGAAATAAATTGTCCTGTGATATTAAAGGATGGCGTGGCCAGAGTTCCCTGGGGTTCATCTCCTTGTATTTGTCCAGCCGGTGTTCCTGCGGTCGGCCGATCTTCATATCCACCAATCCACCAGTCACCCTGGTGATTAGAAGGTTCACCCCTGTTACGAGCTGTTGGGTTGTCGCCAAAAGTCGGCTGATTATCGAATGCTGTTCCTGTCTTCATCCAGCCCATGATGCCATCTTCGAAGTCAAACTTGCAAGCTTTTTATTGGTAAAGAAAACAGACTTTTGAAGACTTTCTACGATTTCACACAGTTAATTGTGCGAGTGATACTTTAAAGAGAAAGATTGCTCTGAAGTTATACCGTGAGAGCCATTAGATTTATTTTCACTACCCAACCCATTACACGACAGCTTGGTTTTATCAACTGAGTTGACCATTCAAATCGTAGAAGGTAGCTTTTAAAAATGAACGATCCGAACCTTAGCCCTTTTTCCGAGCGTTATTGCTTCTTCAAAGTTAAGTGTTAGAGAAATATGTTTTTGGTCTTGTCATGAGCTTGGGGCAAAGAAAACATTCTGAGTCCTCATGAGGAATCGAGACTCAGACCTGCGGATTCTGCGCTCTGATGCTCTACCGCTGACCCACAGACTCCATGGTGAGCAAGGCAGGACGCATATGCATCTTTCGCTAGATACATCTTTCTCATTTCTTCGCCGGGCTCAAAGCTTACTATCTTCCTTATTCTATTTGCAAAACACGTCACTATCGACATTACCGATTGTTCGGAAGCGAAACAGAAATCAAACGAACACGTTTGTTCCAACACGGTAAACGGTAAACTCACGGTAAACGCCAACGTCCGCCAAACAAATTCTCTCTCGATAAAAACAAAACTTTCAACTCCTCTCTAAGAAACTTGCACACGTCAAAAATAAAAAGGTCTGCGTGATTTGCTTACGATACTTTAACCTACGTAATCACAAAGCACACGCACGCGAGTCGCGCGCGTATAAGTTCGGTAACGTCTTCTGAACATTTCCCCCTCCCCACCCACACTGGGAGGTAGTCCTAGTGTGTTTCTAATTAAGTAATTAACACCGATCCTATAAGTATGCAGGTCGTGTGTTAAACATAAACTTCAAAACAGGCCATGCTTGCCATAGAGTCCCTATGGCTCAGCGGTAGAGCATCGGAGCGCGGAATGCGGAGGCCTGAGTTCGATTTTCTTTTTGTTTACTTTGTCCCATGTTCGTGAAAAGAGGAAAAACATCTTTCTCTATTTCTTTACCGAGCTCAAAATTACCATCATTCCTATCCTATTAACAAACGTTGAGTGTTGTTGCTTTTTTTTTAAAAAAGTTTCTCAAGGCGACCCATCTCATAACCTTAAGGCACTAAAGCCAACCTACTGGTAAAGCAATCGATGGAAGACTCTCCTCTTTCTTAGAAAGATAAAGGATTTCACGAGTTAACGAATGAAGAAAAAGAAGCAAAAGCTGCAATAACAAGTCTCAGCCCTAGGATTGCTAAAGTCTTGTTAAAACATTACTTCCACTCTACTTATATACCATCACAGTGAATTCCAGTAAATCCTGCTTTACAGTCGCATTGATAACTGTTTTGTTCAAAGTCAGGAATGCAGGTTCCATCATTTTGGCACGGACTGCTATCACATGATGACTGCCGAGTAAAAGGAGACGAAAAAAAGAGAAAATTTAAAATATTTTAAAAAATCTTAACAACACCACTTATTTAGAAGCCTCAAAAAGCAAAGCAGGTAGATTAACATCATCTGCCGATGTGCACGTGAACAGTTAACTGGGTTTAGCTGTGATATTAAGGACCTTTGAAAGAACCAATCACCTCAGCTATTTCTAACTTGTACCAGTTGGAAGGAGATGATGATTCCGGAATTACGTCCGCTAACCACAGCTTTTAGGGATTTTACTCTCGGTTGTCCTTACCATAGCCTTACGATAAGCACAAAACCGCCTGCTAAAGTGCTTTTCCCTAAAAAGATTAAAATAAGTAAGGATAACACGATGGGATTATAAATGAACGAGTGGTGATGCAAGAAATCCTAGTTCGCGCCTGCTCACAATGTGAAAATCTGGTTTTAAAGTTATCTTGTACAACATAATTAATGTTGGTATAGTGATAATTTTATTGTAACAAAAATCTGCTAAAAGGTTCTGACCGCTGGTATCTCTTTTTTACTGAGTCCGTAAATATAGCATACCCGTATCACGAAAGTTTTGCACGGTTATATATTGTGAATTTACGATTTATATTTATTTGGTCGTTTTGAGGGAACAATTTTTTTGCGGTTCAACATGAATGATTTTGTTTTGGCTGAGCCTGAGTTTTGGGAGTTTCTGTTCAAGCGGTAAAGAACATTCAGTGATCCGTGTCTCGTAGGAGGAATTAACTTAATGTTGTGAAATTTTTTTGATGTCTTTAACATCATGCAGGATCTTTTTCTTCGGGAAGATAATTCTACAGATCGAGGACAATTTGCTCACATAAAATCTAGAATAAATAAATTCCGCAAAATGCGTGCTTAGTTCAGTTACACAATGTTCCAAAATCTCCTTAATCACCCAAGGTTATGTTACTCATTACAAAGAAACCGCCTGTAGATAACACACAAGGGTTAAAAAAATTTAATTTCTAGCGAACGAGCAGTTGAAAACAAAACTACGACTAGATCGTATTTCAACTCGTGAATTGCGCGTGCGCAAGAGTGAGTTGTAGGTATGATGTGATGAATGGCGCTCGCTCGCTCGATTAGTCGATTCCTATAAACTTTTTTCTATTTTAGGCTTTTGAATGTATTTGATAGTTTTTGGTGAGTGATAAACAAACGAAATGGTGACCTTTGCTGCTAAGAATAGTGTTGGGGTGAAAAAGAAGCCAATGATAATCTTGAAAGAGTAAAAAAAGTATACGTTCTTCATTTGTGAATTAATTAAAGTTTGCCCAATCTCCGAATACACTTTTATCTCTTGCAGCGTATATTTCATTTATGGCATCAATACTTTTATTTTTAAATGTATACATCCAGGAAAATGATTATTGTGTCCAAAAAAGGAAAAAAGAAAACAAAGAAAGGAAGTTAAGCCAAACGCAGATTTTAGTTGAACCACCTACGTCGCCACCTTGTAAATCTCGCTAATCACATTGCTTTTAACCGCAAGGCCACCGACACTCCAAAACATCGTCATGTGAAACTTTATGAAAATATAAATTTTACATTTAAAACGCTGATCTTTTGGTAATCTCAACTGCGGGCTCAAACGACTCGAGTCGCTGCATGCTCGCCGATAGTCCGATTTTGAAGTGTCGCTCACGGCCAACTGCTCGTAAAGTGACTTGTTTGAGGCTTGTTTGGTATTCCTGGAGCTGCATCAACGTTGGAAAGTGGTTGATTTGCACTTAGTGTTTTATAGTTTTGGCGCCAGAGCGTTGTCCCAGGGAGTCTGAGGACCAACCCCTCTTTTTATTTAAAGTCGCGAAGAATCTAAATTCAAAATAACGGTCAGCCAGAGATCACGAAAAGATCTAAAAGATGTAGGGAATGCCCTACGAATTGTAAGTTAAAATTTCGTTAAACTCTCAAATGTTATTCAATATTTAAAAAAATCTGTATTTGTTTTTTAGTTTGACTTGCTTCCTCTGGCAACCAATACAAAAATAAACGGCCACCATACATCAGAAACCTTCAAAGCTACAGTAACGCTTCAAAACGAAAGCGCGAATCAGTGGTTCACAAGTGGGAACTGCAGCGAAAGAAGCTGAAGCATAAGTTCAATCAATCGATATGCTGTTTCTTCAATGGTGTAACTCGCACTGTGTATGCGTATGTTATTAGTGCACTGTTAAGTTTGTAATGTAATTGTAATGATTTTTTCTTAAAAATGCGTCCTGGAGTGAGGAACAGGAAGTTCCAAAGACGAGGATTGATATCACTCAAAATGAGTGTAATTATCAGTTCTCAAAACAAGGAATGTATATGCACTAACAGTGAGTGATAAATACTGCGTAAAACGGATAACAGAGTCCTTACTTTAAGGTGACTAAAGTTTCTCATTGTAAGACCTATTTTTTTCAAAATGAGGAAGTAAAGATCTCAAAAGAGAGCACTTACTTCTCAAAGATTGTTAAATAATACATCATCCCTATGTCCTTGAGACAAGGATCTTAACTCCAGGAAGTGGTTCTTTCTATCAATATTTTGTGCATGTAACACAGGTTAGCCAGGATATACTACAAACTCAACAACAACTTTTAATCTGACATAATAAACCCAAATTGTGCTTTCTTTAAAATGCTTCACATTATTTTGAACTTAAGATACATGCACAGCAGCAAGTTTTATTTTGAAGCAAGACTTAAGTTACACCTCACTTCATTTGATGTATATCAAATTAACAGCAAAGTGAAATGGCTTTATACCTAACACCTTCAAGAAATGGCACAGCTACATGTTAACTTAATATGCTGAAATTTTAACTATTCAATAAAAATCTTGATGCAGATTTACCAATACTAAAATAAACAGTATATAGCGGCTTCATGACAAACACAAATTCCTCATGGAATAGGTATAGTAGCCTTTCCTTTGAATCATACTGATGATTACTCTTTGTCAAAAATCTTGCTACAGATTTGCCTGTACCTAAATGCTCGTCGTAGAGGCTCTACACCTAGGACATATTCTTCAAGAAATTGATACAGCAACTTTTCTTTTGAATCATATTGAAGATTTTTTCTTTTTTTTTTTCGCGTTTCTTGATAAATACTTAGTCCTCAATACTGTTAATGTTGGGTTTTTGCAATAGTCGATGACTACTATGAGGAGGTATCGAAAACACATCTGAGTACTCAATACGAACGTTAAACTTTTACCTGTATTCCAGTGTTAGTGAAATTACTTTGATTAAACTGGCTGCAAATAGAGCTTTAGGTCTCAGGAACTTAGTATATCATGTGAATTTAGATGAACCACAACTTACCATTGGACTGAAATGGTGAAAAGAAGCATTCAATTTAAGATCCTTTCTTGCTCTGTATTTGTCTGTGGCCAAAAACTCACAAAGATAGAAACCATTATCTGGATATGCTGCCAGGTTGTACGAGAAACACTCAGATTTAGCGATGCATTTGAATGGGCAAGTGAATATGTTCTTAGTTAGGAAAGATGCAATTACTGTTGTGGAAAGATGCTTGTTGAATGCAGCTCTAAAGTTTGCATACATAATTTGTCGGTTTTCGTCTCGGTGAAGAGCGCCAGGTTGTGAGGACCGACCGTTTTGAGCGAGGTTAGAAAGCAGAGTGAGCGTCAAAATGAAAAAAAAGCTGAGGAACGCCATAGCTGACAAAGAAGGATGATTTGGGTGGAAACCTCAGAAAATTGCTTAGCCTTCCGTGCAGCCTTTATAATAGCTAGCTTTTGTTAATCAATCCGCCAAACTTGAATGTAGATTACCTTAAATGAACTTTGTGAAAATTAATTTGTATGTGTGTTTACAGCAACGACCAAAACTTCATAAATTATGAATTAGTGAGCCATGCAATGAATGAAAACCAGCAAAAAATAAAAAATTAATAAAATAGAGAAATCTTTCTTCGTAACAACTATCTTAATAGTTCTTTATCTTGCTCGATTTCAGTTAGCAATAAATTTACATCGTTTGGTGTCACAGTAACGATATCCCTGAAAAAGACTATTATTTGTAATGTTTTGAAATGCGGAGCAAAATTAATCATACTTTCCTCTGGACATACGTCAATGACTTATCATCAAACATCTCCTACACAATGGAAATGTTCGCCGATGACACTAAGATGATAACGGGAATCGACAAACGTGAAAAAAAAAAACCGCAGGAGCAACAATCCGATATCGATCAGCTAGCACCATGGACTAAGGAATGGAATCTGCACTTTAATCCTCACATGTGTAAGGTGATGTAAAAACGCATATAGACAGGACAAACCAAGTGAAACATGAAAATAAGATATGTAAATACTGACATTGTTCACAACAGCGTGAAGAGCTGTGCCATCCTTATTCGTTTCTGTCAAGTCAGTCAGAACACATTTGACCAACAAATAGCTCCAAGAGGAAGCCTTCTGAGTTGTTTGGATTTTTTTTTTTAGGTAAAAGAGCTACACATTTTGTGGTAATCGTCAATCTCAGAAATTTTTTAACAACATATTGAGGCAAAATAAATTTTAATGTTTCTCGAATCTTGCGTGTTTACATCACAGATTTGTCATGATATATCAGTGGGTTTCCCTCTTGCGAATAATTTGTCAAGCATCAGTTTTAGCGCTTCAACGGAAGAATGGGATATATTACTCAAACAATCGCAACAAGAGTGATGCGTCTCATGAAACATTTCAACAGTTGCATCATTAGATGAAACCTCACAGGAAGCAATTCTTAAACTCAACTTCACCTTGAATTTTATTGAAATGATAAATGCATTACATTAATATTTTATATTTTTCCTCTTTTTTTTCTGAGGTAAAACGTCAAAGTTCTAACCTCTGTTTATTCCTTTTTTTCGATGTATATTATTTGAATTTCTCGCATCTTAAGAGGAGATCCGTGCAAAAATCAAACAAAAATTAATTTTTTTTGGCAAGGGTCAAAACTTCAAATTGTCTCGATTATTGCATGCAAGTAGCCCTTAGTAAGGCAAGAAGGGTTGTGAAGTTTTTTTCTCTCAAATATATTTTTATTTTCGAGATAAATGAATTTTTCACTTTCACCGTCTGAAATCGATGGATTGGGTCATAAAAGGTTTAAAATTGAACACTTTCGCTCGCTTTGCGTTTCAAAGATATTGCGTTTAGGGAAATCTACCCAGCGTGTGCTCTTTTATAGACTTTTCTTCTTCTGTAAAATGTGAGTTGTGTAGGAATTGGTTGCTTAGTAGCTTTTAGCCACGCGAAAAAACAGTGTGCTCTCTTCATTTACAAAAACATGTTGATGAAGAAAACCTATTATTTCACTATGTGCCATTTTTTGTAATTCCATTAAATTACGTATGTAAACTTCCGAAGGAATAATCTTCAAAATGACGTAAAGTTTGCTTTAGGCAAATGTTTTCTCGCGACGCAGTAAACTCTGGGCACCAGCATAAAGTCACGCAATATGTTGATTGCGTGACTAAAAAGTTAGGGAGAATTCCCTTTGAAAATGACTTCGGATCGAACAGGAGAACAGGAGAATACCTTCTCTTGTTAAATGACAATGTCTTTTACCATTTCAATTTTGCTTTTGCAAAGATACTCTGCCATCGTTCTGTCTAGTACGATTGTGCACTGGTGCAAGTAACGGTATACGATTTAGACTTAGCTGGTCTAGTTTCTGCCCATTGTTTAACTTTCTATGTATTGTGCATACCCGTGCCTTTTAACTAGCTTTCTGTAAAAACCAACAAAGTTTTCATTGAGAGGTTTTTTTAGGAGTTAAGTGAACCAAGTGAGGCCATGCATGACCTAACTAGCCTAAGTGCAGTACCCTCACCAAGTGTATGCTCATACGTCATTTGTAAAAATAATCACAATTACGGAGAAAGGATATAAGAAGTCTAAATATCCATTTAGCTCTGATTTTTCCTTTATTTCTACCTATTTTGACATTCTCTGCTAAAGTAAAAATACTCTTCAACTACCGCAATGTCTGTTCGCTTTGCGTTGTTTTGGCGAGACAACTAAATTTACAAAACCGCAAAAAAGTCAACATAGCTTTTCGTAACTGTCACTGCCCTTGGCAGCAAATAACCTTTCGGGGCTTCTACCGACGTACTTCAACTTCTTTGTTCGGGCAAAAACACAGTTGTGAAACCATGTCAGCAGCACTGTAACAGAGAATTCACAACAAACAGCAGCTGCAGAGACCATCAAAACATAATCATTCATCCCCCATTTTCCTGACATAGGCAGCCCATGACAAGGCTTGTTATCATATCGACATAAAGCTTCTTCCTTTTAACGGTTACCCGCGAAATATCGCGTCCAAACGAAGTACAAATGTCAATTAACATTTTAATTGAAAATTTTGAAAGCTGAAAATTCTTAACTAGTTCAAAAATGCTGTAATCCTTGAATAAAATTGGATGTGCGTGCAGAATAGAAATTTCAGTCATCACTTTATTCCTCATTGCTTGTGGCTGACTTTCCTTTTCTGCGCTGATTTACTCATCGTCATCGCTCTGGTTGATCCATTGGTGGTCGAGACTTCGCTTAGAGGCCAGAGAAGAAAAAAAATAGAAATTTGCCTTCTTGTAAGAAACTCAAAGCTGTCAAATAGCTGCTCGACGTTTTCGTCTTTCAATTCTCAGATCTCATTATTCTTGAGCCACTTGCAGTATCTGCCTTTTGTCCTGTTTTGTTCACCATTTTCTTCAGATACCTGTGCAAATGGTGAAAAAAGAAACAATGACGGTAATGACAATAATGATAATGACAATAATAATAATAATGATGCTGATGATGTTGAGGATGACAAAGGTGAAGAAGACGATGACGACAGCGACGACGACGACGACCCCAATGACTTTCAGGGAAGGTTAACTTTTTGACATGGAGCCCTCCCTTCTCATGATCTAAAAAATGACTACAAAACATTTGGCCTAGCCCGCAGCCATCAAATCTTCGACGTACTAAATTCAAGTTATGAGGTTACGTATCACCTCTAATCTGGACCTTAGCCAATTTTAAGACTCACCCAGCCAATTGTTTATGTCTAATGAGATAGATAGCTTTAGATAGATAGCTTTATTAGGAAGTAAAATCATTGCAGCCCCCAGGCCGGCTGAAATACGACTTACTTTACAATGGGAATAAATTATCTCTTACTCTAAGATAACTACAATAAAAGCTGCAAAGTGTAGTCTACAATAAAATACAATAAGAGAAGTATCAAAAACCAAAATACATATTATTAAGATAGCTACTAATAATTAAAACTGTTCGCCATGATAAATGTGTTTTTGAACCTAGTTGTCTTACAAATCGGTAGCTTGAAGTATCTCTGGCTGCGTGAGGTATCTCTGAATTTCTTTAAAAGTAACCAACATCTGAATACCTCCAGCACATATGCAACAAAACAATAGATTTTTTTTTATGATAGGGTTTATGAAAGCCATACCAGAACCTAAAGGTACAAGAGTGCCAGTTCTCTGTAAAATAACTTATGATATCACTCTGTGCCGTGAGAAAACATTTGTCCAAAGAAAACTTAACGTCATTTTGAAGATCACTCCTTCGGAAATTTACATACGTAATTTAATGGAATTACAAAAAATGGCACATGGTGAAGAAAGAGGTTTTCTTCACCAACATTTTTTTGGGAACTGAAGAGAGCACACTGTTTTTTCGCGTGGCTAAAAGCTACTAAGGAACCAATTCCTACACAACTTACATGTTACAGAAGAGGAAGAGTCTATAAAAGAGCGCACGTTGATTATATCTCCCTAAACGCAATATCGTTGAAACGCGAAGCGAGCGAAAGTGTTTAATTTTCGACCTGTTATGACCCGATCCATCGAATCCAGATGGGGAAAGTGAAAAATTCCTTTTTCTCGAAAATAAAAATATATTTAAGAGAAAAAACTTCACAACCCTTCTTGCCTTACTAGGGCTACTTATATGCAAAAATTGAGACAATTTGAAGTTTTGACCCTCGCCAAAAAAATTGAATTTGTGTTTCATTTTTGCACGGATCTCCTTTTAAATGAAATATTGTGTCATGTTGCGTGAAAGCACAAAGAATTATAAATACGAAAAAGCTTGGAAGCAAGAAAGCAAATCACTGCTATCACAGCAGAGTGTGAAAGGTCGCTAACTACATCGATAAGTACTTTGAAGTAAATGATTGATAGAACAACTATTTTTAACCAGGAAAAAACCCACCCAGAAGATCATATTTTTTGCCAACTTTTGGAGATTCTGTTTATCAATAAATCTTATCAATAAATGTTTATCAATAAACTTAAACCGAAGTTGAACGTGCAAGCAGATTCCATACGTGGAAAACCTTTTGTTTATTTCTTAGTTATTTATCTGTTTATTGTTTTTAAAAGTTTTAATCAGTGCCTTTTGTTATTTTAGCATTCAAGCCTCTTAAACTTAACATTCTTCTTGACTCGATGATAGCTTTACGCTAACGTCGAAACGTCGTCGACTATTATATTTTAAGCGTTGTTGGAAAGTCACCTTGATGGTGTTTATAATATTTTACGGCAATTTTTTTCGTAAAATGCTTTTCTCCTCTTTCGTCTTTTTCATTATTATGTTTCTAAATAGAAAGGATCCTCCAAATCTCGTACGATACAGTTTGCAATCGCCGACAGCTGTTTTGAATAAATATCGATAACACGTCTACTCCGCAGGAACCCTTATAGT